AAAGAACATGGGGAGACCATCTTTTTCATTTCCCTCTGAAATTATTCTCCAACAAATCAAAAGCAGTTTTCGAAGCATCAAAGTGTATACTTAATATTACACTCCTGAATTCGCTAAGACACTTCTGCCTTTACTAAACAAGCATGTCTTTAAGCAAAGCACTTAAACACATGCTTAATTAATTATTGAGACAAGAGGTATAGTGAATGTATACTGCTCACATTTAAAGAAGGGGATTTCTTTTACCCACTATATATGAACTCTTTCAAGCAGAAAACATGCTTCTAGTTTGAGTAATGACTCTTTTCTTTTTCAACAGCATTTCCATTCAGTGTAAGAATAGGTCCAAGGTTTAAATACCTGTTTTGCCAAATCCCTTTTGAAATCCAGTTCAGACTTACAGCTACTTCGAAATAAATAATTGTGTGAGAAGCTATGTTCATCAGGAAACTGGTTTTAGTATCACCTGTGTAAACCAAATCACATATGCTTCAACCAAGGGTGATTTTTTTTTAAAGAAAGGCTTTTAATTGCCTACCCTGTAGTATCGCATGCTTACCTATAATTTAGTGCCTTATCCAATGGAGTGTAACAGGGATTAGCTTCTGGGATGTAAAAGGGATTAGCTTCTCCTGGGATGTACAAATGATTAGAAGATTAAAAATCTATATACAATTCCCTGATTTTTTTACAGAATACTGAAAACTTCTGAAAAATGTTTAAATTATTATAATTCTGATAATGATGTTCTAGACATTATTTCTGCCTCCTATTGTACAATGTATTTTTCTTCCTTTTTTTTTTTTAAAACCAAAATGATGAGTTAAACTTTGGATTATATATTATTGGTTTTTTTTAAGTTGCTCTTTGTTTATTAAAAAGGAGATGGGTCAAACTGACATTGTGAGCAGAGGTGTACTGCCACTCTGGCAAGCCTGAGCGCTCTACATAGTATTACTTGAAAGAGGAGCTACAAGGTATTTTAACTCTTGTACATCTGCATCATTTTCTTTAGGAATAGAACTGGGATGTTCTTCATCTTTCCAGTGATGGGTAACATCACACACATGGCATGAGACTTTCAAAAGATGTCATTCTGTTCTAACTTATGGTTGGACATAACCATCAGTTGACTTGGTGGGATTAGAGTAGGAAAAGTCTGGTGTCTGTGTAACTAAGCCACTTCTTATTTTAAAATTACTTCAAACTGTCTGTTCTGGCAGTGCTAGTGTCTACAGCTCTCTGCAGTTTCTTTTGTTGGTGTTCTCTGCTGTTGGTGCCTTGTGTCATGGACCAAGACAGCCCATGTCTTGTATTACTAGAACATGTCTATGTAGTGAAGCATAGATATTTTGGTTACGCAAGAGGGAGGTAAATTATCTTAGCAGCTACAGCATCTGGAAGAATCATGTTGAGGGCACTTCTGTTGGTTCTAGGGCCAGTAGCAATTTCTGGTGTGTTAGTGAAAGGACTTGTGCTTTGTGAAGGCAGGAGTGGGTATCATTACCAGAGCCCTTCAGGAAATTGGTGAATGACAGTCTAGTTTGCCATTGGTGAATGGCAGTCTAGAAATTGCATCCAGGATGCTATTTCTACATATGATGCCACTCTTCCTGTAATATTGCTGATATTAGTCAGCAGTTTTCAGCTGATGGATGTCTAAGAGTTTTCTGTTCATTGCAAGCCCATTTGTAAAGTTCATGTGCACTACGTACACATTGTAGTCACCATTTCTGGGTGCTAATGTCATGGTAAAAATCACTGTTAGTAAGAAGAGCATTGCATCCTGAGTAAATCTGATTGTTCAGAGCTTCACTGGAAACTGGTCTGACCTGCATTTATTTATAACAAACGATAGAGAGAAAATTCTCATATGCAGGTGCCCATTTACCTGACTGTGTTTGTTGATACAGACTGAATCATGTGCTCCTGAATGCCTAACTGTGAAGTTCAGACTTCATCACAAATTTAGGGTCATTGATTGCCAGTGTTGAATGGACATCATGCTTCATTTGAAAATGTTTCAGCCTCTAATTCATCTAGCTGTGACTAAACTGAGTGAGAGTCATAGGGGTCTTGAATGTCCTTTTATCTAGTTAAAAAACTATCCTAAAAAAAAAGCCTGCTGCATATTTGCAAAATATTGCTTGTGGAGGTACAAATGGAGTGATACTGGGAGTGTAAGCTCCATTAAATTCAGAGGTACTCATGTTTCTACATAGTTGCACCTCATGACTAATAGGTAACAGACACAAAGGTCTGTTGCTCTTCCAAAAGATATATTGTGCATTTTCATTGTTATTGTTGTAAGGCACACAAATATCAGTGTACATTATAGACAAATTATATTACTAAAAGAGGTAATTAGCTGGAAATACTACATACATAGAAGTTGTCATAACAACTTCATCATTAAGTGAATGCTTAACTATTCATTTTCTTCCTTCCGATTTGCATAGAACTTCCTAACGTACCCTGTGGCTTGAAGCAGAAGGAATGATTTGTATCCTATTAATATGGGGATGTAGGTCTGTGTTTGGCAAGACTTTCTTTTGTGATGCAATCAAGACAATTCAATCCTATTAAAAGATTAGTTTTGAGAGACAGCAGTTGGCTATGCTTTCCTTTCACATTCTTGTATTCCCCAGGATAGCATCTGCAGATGCAAAGATGACCTACCACCTCTTTGTAGGAGGCTGCAAGGTCTTCAGTTACCAAGGTCTGTGCCTCTTGCAGCATCTTTGGAAGTCAAAGGAGTGCCATTATCCTTGATCGTTTGTTCAAGATCACAGAGTAGGTGAGTGGCAAAGCAGTACTTGAACCCATGCCAACACTAATCACTCTACCCTATCACTGCCTTCTCTTTAATGACTTTGAAGACTAATAGCAAAACCTCTGGAACACTGCTTTGCTGTAGAGGATCTGTCTTGTGTCCAGTGTTCAAGCCACCTACTTGTGCCCAATGCCACAATACTTAAAAAGTTCTTGATTGTAATGTGTGGTGATTGTAAGTGCTGAAATCTATAAACACCTGTTCAATGTGTAATGGTAAGCACAAGCTTAAATGTAGCTTTGCATAGCAGTGAATGGTGGCAAAAGCTGCCGGGTTCTGGTGTGTTTATCAGCAAGAAGTTTAAATATCAGGAAGAATAAAAAGTTTCCTTGTTTGTAAATGTGGCTGTGTTGTGATATCAGGGAATGTCTTGAAAAGTTCTACTCAACCAGCTGTCTAGCTCCTACCCTTACTCTTTGCTTTGATAATGAACTCAAAAAAAAATCAGTTTCAGGAGATTTAAGTTTGTACATTCAATGTGAAATTTACTTAAACTGTCATGGAGAGTGTTGGAGGGTGAGAAATGAAAATCTCAGCTCCAATCTTATTTTTCAAGGGGTCATATCACCACCTAGTAAGTATTTCCATCAAATGCAAGTTATCAAGATGTCAAGATCATTATCTACCTAGCAATAGACATCTGACTTTATATAGGCAATTGTGAAAGAACTTGATCCTTAACCAATGTGATGTGATGTACAGGCATCTAGACACCTGACCTTTACAAAAGCAGTCCTAAAAGTCAAATGTCATCCTTTTCCTAGCTTCTATTCTTCTGCAACCAGGCTACCCTTCACTTGGTCTTTTCCTTGTCTGGTCTTCATTGAAATATTTTGGCATACATCAGAGTTGCTTTGCTGGTTTATACCAAGACCAGATCTGGCTTTAAACTTCAAAGCTTGCAATAAAGATCTTGCAAATTTACCTTCATCACCTCAGAATCCCCCGCAAAGACATTAGGATTTCTATGTCTCAGTTCCCATATTAGCGATGCCATTCACCAACTTCAATCAAACCTGCGAGTGGATATATTTATGGACTCAGGTTAGGCTTGGAGGCAAAGCCCACCTTGTCTCCAGCCTTTAAGAGGCACCTACCTACCAGCAGAAGTCTGCAGGGGAAGAGAAGGGTGGAGTAACTCTCCCATCAAACTTATTTTTTTCTAAACCTTATCTAAACAGGTTCAGGCTACTCAAAGTTTTATAACCTTTCAAAACCCTAGAAGCCAGCTGTAAAAATAAGAGCTCCCCTTGTTTAATAGCCAGAAAATCAAGGTGTGAAGCTAAGGACAAGCAGTAGCAAGAGAGATAAGAAATGTGCCTCTTCTGCTGCATTTATGTTTAATAAGAGGATGCCTAAAAGCTTCAGCTTTCTGTTATCTTTTACAAAGATTTACCAGAACAAGTGGTACTAAGCCTTTAATGCTCTTGCTTTACATATACAAAAATGCTAATTTTTGTTTCCATTTTCAGTCAGCCTTATTTGAATTTTTTTTATGTTGAATAGCAGTCTCTCATTTTTGAAGTTATTTTTTTGAGATGCCAAGCAGTACTGATTATATCAATGGAGTACACTGATTATTTTTCCCTCCTCGTGTTTGCCCTATATAGCCAGTAAGCATGATATTTGACATGAGTTGTTTCTCTTTTCATCTCCAATTTTTTGTGGAAATAATCAGAATTACATTGAAACCAGCATCAGAACTTCATTGCAGCAAATCTCCTGTGCTTGTTCAATCTAATGCAAAATGTACAACGTGGAACTTAAAAGCCTTTATCTGATTTCAGGATCTGTTTATGCAATACTAACTTGATTCTTTTTCCTCTGCCCTGTGGTTGCATGATAGATGATGCTCTGCAAACTCCTAGTTCTGGAGGCGAGTTGCAGCATGTGATGGTCAAGATGCCGCTTTTGTGTTTGTCTCAAGTCAAAAGACAGAAGGTGCTGACCGCTGGTTATCGCTTTCGAAAACGGCAGGGGGGGCACAGCAGGGCTTCTGCTCCAGGAAGGTGAGGATGCTTCCCTGTGTTGTCTACCCCGAGGCCTCAAAGATCAACTGCCCCAGCAACAAACTGCCTGGAGACAAGGGCACAGACACTGGGGCACCTGCCGGGTCACAACGTGAACTAGGTCTGGGGCTCACCAGATCCCCTGTGGATGAGTCGGACCTATGGGAGGGGTCCAAGAGACCCTGACCCTATAAAAAGGCAACCATTCTTCAGTTGTGTGGTGTATCCGTCTGTCCTGGATTCCAGCAGACTTGCTGACCACAAGGATCACAAGGACTTGACCACAACTGAAAACTGAAAGGACTACAACTGAAAGAACTTCAACTCACTGACAGAGGAGATGTTGCTGGATCCAAGAGTTGGTGATCCTATTTCTGTTTTCTTTCCTTCTTTATTTCCTTTCTTCTTTTCTTCTTTTACTTCATGTCTTTTATGAAAATAAGAACCAGCCAAGAATTTTGGCTGTCCTGGCACAGTTTTAGGGAAGTTTATAATAAAAGTAATTGTTGTTTCATTTTTTATCCTCTTAAGAGACTGTGGTTTCTCCTGTGAACCTGTGAAGAGTATTGTAAATGATGACCTTTTCCCACACCTGCCAAGTGGGATGGGACACAGCCCCTGTAAACAATTTCTCTAACCCTTTGGTGCTGGTACAGGTCTATGGTAGAGCAAGGGCAGTTGACTAGAGGATGGAACTGGGTCACCCTGGATTTATGGTATTCCTTTGCCATATGCTAGGACCAGTGACTGTAGTTGTAAGGGGAAGAATGGCATTATATATAGCCATTCTTTCTTATGTCAACTTTTGCAATGGCCTGCCATGATTCTGGTTAGTGTATATCGAAATGATCTATTTGAGTGATGGTAACTTATGTTATTCATACCTCATCATGATGAAACTTGAGTCTTAAAGCCAGTTCTCTAGATCCGTCTGTCATACTGCTTGTGAGGTCTGCTAAAACCCAGCAGTTTCTATTCCTGACCAGAACTGCTATTTCTGGCTCAAACACATCAAAATTCTTTTTATTCTGTGACAGCATTCCTGTCCTCTTGTGTCTGAAACATGATTTGTTTATGAGGATTAACAAAACTAGTTGGAGCCAGGCTACAGGAGTTTGTGTGGGAAGTATTGTCTCCCACCCAGAAGCCAAAGTAGCACTTCCTGCTACATAAGTTAAACAGCTAAGAAGGTTCAGATTTTTATTTTAATTTGATTCTATTTACTGGAGAGAAGAAAAAAAAAGAAAAATCCCAAACCAACCCCCCCCCCCCCCCCGATTAATTGTTCTTGCACTGCACAAAGAGAGCGATTAATCTCCTGCATACAGAAGCATTTGTCTACTACTCCTGCTTGAATTCCTCAAAGGCTAAGGGTGTTTCTAATGGTCATTTAAATAATAAATACCACTACACTCATTAGAGGTGTATCACTCATTCCTTTTCTGCTCTGGTGCTTGTTGTATTCTATTAATATTTATTGAATTCAAGGAAATACATTCTGAGCAGGTGGTCCACATTTCTTTTCAAGGTCGTCAAATATAAATATTTTATTTATCTAATTTAGAAAAATGACATTAGTTGTGATGCAGCAAACATGACAGGAGTATGAATTAGTGGAAAGCTTCTCTCGGGAAAATGTATTCAGATACCAGTAATGGATAATTATAAGTCTAATAGCTTCTCTCTTAGCAGGTAATAAAAATACATAATGGCAATACAAACCCTCACCTGAAAGCGTGCATATGGCAATAGCAGAGAGTAGTAAAATAGGCTATTTACTATGAGGGCAGTGGAAGGATCCAAATCTCTTTCTGGTACTTGGGTCCTTAGTAGGCTTATTAGAGCTTCAGCTTCAAACTTTTACATGGATATGCGTGTAGGCTATGTAGCAGATTTTCAGTAGTCCTTTGGGAATGAATATGCCTAAATCCATTAAATGTTGGATGTTGTGTCTTATGTTGGCTCAGAGGAGCTGGCTAATAACTATGCTAGTAGCAATCCTATGAGTGGCCAGAGTAGTTTATTCTAAGTACTGCACAGTGTTTTCTTACCCCTGGCAGTCTACTGTTCTATGTCAAACAGGGCTGCATTACCTATTGCTGCACATGTGTAGTCCAGGAAGGTCATATTTTGTTTGCACCAGTACGAAATAAAGAGAAGATCCTGCTGAGATGCTGTGTTCTGAATGTTCATGTAGGTTAAGCCTCCCTTGCCTTTTTCTGCTGCATATTCAACTTCTGCACACTTGGAGCCTGTTGTCTTTTTGTTCCCTGGAAGTGTAGAAATTATTCTTCTATGATAATTTCATTCTGAACAAGCACCATCTTTTCTTTATATTCATCCTGCCCTCTCCAACAAGAAGGCAAGATGATAAGGGCTACATTTTAGAAATTAATAATTGCATTCTTGCAAATGCTGGCTATAAGAAAACAATACTTCAAAAAGGGAAAAGCCAGTAGATTGTGTTTACCTCCTTAAAACGTTCACCAAGGAACAGTTCCCCCAGATTGAGTTTTAAGCTGTCAAGAATCAAAGAAAACAAATGAAGTGGCATTTAATTTAATTGAAAATTGTGCTTATGGGGTTTTGTGTCTGCATTCAATTTTTAGCACATGTAGTCTTTTGATATTGCTAAGGTTAAAATTAAAATTATGTATTTATTGCTATTGTCTGGAAATATTGCAGACAAAGTACAGGCTCTAAAGAAGTGCTGTTGAATAACTTGTGTCTTTGTAGCAGTTCTATTTTTAAATAATACGCAGTATCTCAGGGAAGATGTTACAATAGAATTGGCTGTAAAAATGAAAGGTAGTAACTCCGGAGCTTTGATTTAATTGGTGTGTGACCTGTGCTGCTTCTTGACAGAAGCCTGTCTGATAGAGCCAATGCCAGCCAGCTCCAAGATGGACTCACCCCTGGCCAAGGCCATCAGAGATGGTGGTAGCACCTCTGGGATACCATTTTAAGAGGGAAAAAAAAGGAAACCTCTGTGCAATTGCAGCTGGAGAGAGGAGTCAGGATATGTGAGCAGAATAAGTCTGCAGACACCCAAGTCAGTGAAGAAGGAGGGAAGAAGGTTCTCCAGGTGCCAGAGCAGAGATTCCCCTGCAACGCATGGTTGGTGAAGACCACTGTGAGGTAGGCTGTTCCCATGCAATCCATGGAGATCCACAGTGCAGCAGATCTCCACCTGTAGCCCTTGAAGGACCACACACAGGAGAGTAAGATGCCTGAAGGAGGCTGTGACCCTGTGGGAAGCCTGTGATGGAGCAGGCTTCTGGCAGGACCTGTGTCCTCATGGAGAGAGGAGCCCATGCTGGAGCAGGTTTGCTGGAGGAATTGTGACCCCACTGGGGGTGAGGAGGTAGAAAAGATCAGGAGTAAAGTTAAGCCTAGGAAGAAAGGAGGGTTAGGGGATAGGTGGTTTTGAGATTTGGTTTTATTTCTTGCTATCCTACTCTGATTTGACTGGTAACAAATTAAACTAATTTTTCCCCAAGCTGAGTGTGTTAGGCCTGTGATGGTAATTGGTGAATGATCTCTCCCTGTCCTTATCTTGACTCACAAGTTTGTTGAGATGTTCTTCTCTCTCCTGTCCAGCTGAGGAAGGGAAGCGATAGAGTGGCTTTGGTAGGACGATGGTTTCCCACCAAGGTCAACCCACCACACCTATTCTGACCTATAGAACTGGAGATTTTACTGCCCCCTCTCACTGTTGGCATTACTGGTATTGAGTTCTGGTAATATACCGCTAATTCACACTCACTGGTATACTCAGTAGTAAGGTGTTGATAAGAACAGGCATGAGGAATAAATCACTCCATTTCCCCTCTTGCGAAGCTTGCTTCACTTTGTAGGGAGCAGGTCTGATCTGCTGACTCTCAGTAGAAACCATGTCAGATGGAATCCATGGAGTAAAACAGAGGAGAAATAAGGCACCTGTGGAGTCATGGGAACAAGCAGAGCCCTGATAGAGAGCTGAGTTGCTAAAGTGTTATAAGCATAGAGGCTCATATGACTCTAACCCTGAGTAATGGAGATGGATGGGAGGAAACAGGAGCACAAGATGCCTGGAGAAGGAGGGGGAAGATCGAGAAAACTGAGGTAGTAGGAGTAACGGAACTAAATGGAAGAAGCAGATACCTCTGGATCTGCATGTGTAATCAAAACATGAGATCAATGACTGGCTGACCTTCGTCTTGAATAAAACAGATCCCTATGTACAGGCACACAGAGCAGAAAGCAGAGAGACACCTGAAGACTAGCAACACTCACCCTAAAATGAAAGGGTAAGTGTGACAGGAAGCTGAAAAACCTGTGTGGCAGAGCAGGAGCAGTGAACATATGACAGGGGTGCAGGGAGAAGGAGTGTTCTGGGGACTGCCAGAGGAGCAAGCCAGGAGAGCAGAGCAGCAGCAGCTTGTTGAGTGGGTCTGAGCTGGAACTAGCTCTGGAGATGGACCTATTACTGCAAGAGCTTGAGGGTGTTATGCTGGAGAGGGAGGAGAAGCTTCATGTAAGGTTCTGAGTTTTGTCACATGGTTGAGCAGAGCAAAAATAATCGTGGCATCTTCATTGTTGCTCTTCTCTAGAATTATATCAGAAGTTAGGCCTTCTGTATTAATGTATGTATCCTTATGTGATACTCCATATTTTTCCTTTATTTCATACAAACATAAAAAACGTTATGGCAAAAATATCCTTAGCAGCCATCTGAAGAAGTTCTAGCATGACAAGCTCCTAAGTAAATACTGAACAGTTGCTAATTAAAGCTAAGTGCATAGTCTCTCATTTTTCAATTAACATGCTCAATATATAGTGATGCCTTAATTATTTTTTCTAAATATGCTTAGAAGAAATCTCTAAGTCTGGAGGTGAACTTTACAAGGTAGATGGTTCTTTCTGTTTTCAGTGGAGGGTGGAGGTAGGTTTAACTGAAATTGAAGAGAGGCTTATGAAAATATGTCATTGTCTGAAAAACTTTGCTCTCAGATAACTTTAGCTCTTCCCGTCATCTTCCATTTAGCTTCACTTTAACCTCAGGTGAGCCTTTTTCAAGCAATTGCTTGTCCCTTAACTAACTTTGGTGACAACTAGTCTGCAAGAGAGCATGGGGACAACTAGTCTGCAAGAAAGCACGTCTGCAAGAGATAGTTCTGCCAATTACCCACACAGTGATCCACATTCTCTGTTGTGAGCTGTGGAGGTGCTACAACATTTTCTTCAAACCGGGCAGATGCCCTCCTGTAGCTGTTGCAGAGAAGGCTGAATAGCCCTATCATGAGATCAGTGTTTGATAGGTGAGATGGATTGCCCTCTAGAGGTGTCTGCTGTCACTTGGGGGTGAATAAGGTACCTTGAACAGGTCACCTAATAATCAGACATAAAAAGGCAAGCGGAAATGGGGAGATGCCCATGGTTTACCTGCTGTCTGGTCTCCCGGCTACCTAATGATAGCCTGCTGCAAGCCTGTTCCCATGGCAGCACCTGTAGTGGCCATTTGTACAAAACCTGCTGTTTCAAAAAATACACAGCTATGCAACTTTGGGATAATGGTTTAAATCTGTCAGTGCTGGAATTTTTCAAAAGCACTTAGCATCTGAACTGCTCGGGATGATCTCAAATATTTTTAATCATAAAATGCCATCTTATTGAAAGATAAAGTTTGGGGACAAAGATCTGTTTTAAAGATGTTGACAACAAAATTAAGGAAAAAAAAAAAGAATTTTAGATTTAATGTGTTTTCACAGCAGCATGTGCAGACTGAAAAGCTTCTGTCTTCTAGCCCAAAGATATATAAAAGCATCTGTTTGGTGATTTTTGTTTTGATAACTGATCAAATTTAGACCAAGGCATATGATGTATTAAACTGAGTTGAGCTGACACTGTGCATTTAATTTAGGGTGTGGTTTTGTGGTTTTGCAATTTCAGTGTTAGTGTCAAATTGATATGGGGATTTTTTTTTTCAGATTTTTTTTATTTTGCTAGGCAGGTAAAATAATATTCTATCTGTCTCTACTGAGTGCCAGTCTAAATGGATTCCATTTTAGTAAAAGGATGATTCCTTTCTGAGGCCCAGTAGGAGAAATGTTAGGAAAACTCAGAACACCTTTGAAAAAACCTTCCTATATGTTGCAGTGGGAATCTTACTACATTTAGGGTTTTAATGCCAGGAAGTGTATTTCCCTTTAAAACGAGAGCTAGGAAGTTGTCTTCTCTTTGGAGAGACTGAGGAAATGGGGACACATGTCTTGGAGGATTGACATTGCTTTTTACTGGTAAGAAACATAGGCTGCCAGTAAACCATGAAATTCAAACCTCAAACCAAACTAATTGGGCTGACAATTGCTCTAGCAGTTGGCTGCTAATTCTGAAAAATAATCTACCACCTGTTGTTTAGTCTGTAGGATTAGAGACAGTTTTAATGTTTGAGGCAAGAGAAATTTATTGCTCCAGATGGAGCAAAATTTCTTAAAAAAAAAAAAAATACGGGCATAGATCAGCATTCAGTGCAGTAGTCTTCTACTTTAAAAATGCAGTTTGGTACAAATCACAGCACTTTTAATAGCAGCCTATGGCCAGAGCTGTTTTCCACCTTCAGAAATTGTTTTCTCTATTTGGAAGTTGTCACAGATGAGTTTATCGCAGTTCTTGAACAGAAATGCTTGCAATTGTCACTTTTCTCCCTGTGTACATCAGATTTTAATAAGAGGTGATAATTTTATTGTCCCACTGAGAATGTAATCAAAGATATGTTTGATACACAGGGTAAATAGTTGATGGAGATGGCAATGTTTAAATTCAAGGGTTATTTTGTGTTTGCTATTTACGGACCATCTGGAAGCAGGAAATACTGTCAATGAGACTTTCAGAAATCAGCAGTATGAAATAGATGAGAAGACAGGGTAAGGTAAATCTACTGGTTGGACAGATCAGATGATATTGCTGGGAATATTTCTGCTCAGCAAAAAGCAGACAACACTTTTTTGATAAACATATAATTTTTGTCACCAAAGTGTTTTCAGGAAATATTTCTCAGTTTGGAGAGGAGGGGGTGGGGGGATACTCTCTGGTAGGGTGAGAAGAGGGGATTTTACTCTGAAACAGGACCTGGGGAATTTACACAGAAAGGGAGATAAGGGTTCAATTCCTGCTCTGGCTCAGCCTGGGATAGGAATTTGAGCTGATTGCATCCCACACTAATTGCTCTAACTAACAGATGTGTGTGTCTGTTTAATTTGTGGCTGTTTAACTTGGGTCAGTTTGGGAAGGCTGGGTTTTAATAACTTGTTGTTAGGGCATTTGGTGGGAGTAGGGGAAACTTGGCCAACATCATGCAGGGTGTATGCTATCACACAAGCCATGTTGGTGTACAGCCATGTCGCAGAGGTCACAGTCCTCTGGAGCCGATAACTAGAATGTGCAAGAGGAGCCCCTGACACATGACTGACTCATCCTTGGAATAGGTTTGGGGATATATTGAGTGGAAAGGAAACTTGTCCTACTTCTGGTTAGGCTTTGTATTGAGCCTTTTTTCCTGGCTTGTGATTTTAGCTTCTTCTTCCATTTTCCCCTCTGTAGTATTTTATTTCCCTTGACTTCCGTCATCTTCTCCTTGCTTTTTCCCTCTTTAGCTGTATAAATGTCAGGACTGTTGGACGAAGTAAATTAATTTTCAGAAACTAAATCTCTGATTTGCCCACAGAGCCCTTTTAGGGCAGGTCATTTATTCCAATTCAGGAGTTTTCTGGAGCATCCCAGGGGGTTCTATGTCTTCCATATCAAACTCCTAGGGGGTTCCATGTCTTTGAGTCATCCCTGAATTTAGCTATGCAAATGCTGGCTATCAGCTGCTCCTTTCATTCAGATCTGGTAACTCTCTCTCCCTGTTTTCCCCAGTCAGGTTCATCCAGCTGAATATATTTAGGCTGGAAATGCATAGTAGCCCAGATCAGTCTAATCACAGTCATCCTGTTCCTGCTGCCACTATTCCCTGGCCATGTCGTCCTGGCCTGTGGCACTTAACAAGTGGATTCATTCAGTCTGCTTTAAAGGCAGGGTTCTCTGGTCAAAGAAATGATTTCTGCCTGCTGGATGGTCATACAGCAGAGCAAGGTGGTAACCAGGACAAGGCAAAAGCCTTGTTTCCTTTTGCTCAGCCATGGCTTCTTAAGAAAACATAAGGTCGTGAAAACTGAGAACAAACTTAACAGTACTACCATCTGTAATAGGTATATGGAATGGCCACTGGTGGCTTTTGGAAAGATTTGTAGATAGTAGCTTGACCAGCACAACCTTACAGTGCATATTATGTACAATTTTAAAGCATTGAATTTAAAGGTTTTGTTTTTTTCACCACTAATAATTCACCTTCCCTTGGCAATAAATATTCAAAGGAGCCAAGACATGATGAAACCCTTTGGATGCTGTAATTGTCCTTTGTTTTTATTTAGCACAGACATGATCATTAGTATAGCTGGTTAAGAAGCAATAGCTATATCTAAGCGAAATGATTAAACCAAAGTATTTTTGGTTAGTGAAGTACTTTGGTTTCTTGAAATTTTCCAATGAAAAAAATTCTTCTCTTCTGTCCTGCTTGGGTTGTTACTCCTATCTCTTCAGGTGAACAAATTCAGGCAGGACTGACAATAGTTCTATGTCTTATGATGTCCTACTATAAAGTGTTTGTTGTCTTCTAATGCTTTAAGGAGTGTTGATGTGTTGAAGTAAACTATATCAGTCAACAGCTTATAAACAGGTTTAACAGATTGGTGATGATACTTGAGAAATTCAGTGGAAGAAGGCATCTTCTAAATATCTTAATCTGTCTGAGGCACCTTCTGGTGCCTTATGAAAGGTTACCATTATAGTGTCTGATCCACCTCAGGTTTATGGTCTAGTAGTCATGGGATAGGATGCCAGTGGGGAATTTACTGTGCCTTTGTTCTAGATGACTTGTGACGTTTACAGACTTGGGTCCTACTCTGGTATGAACTCTTTCTGCCAGCTGCTTCTTCAGAAGTGGTTGCATACTCTCCATTAGCAAGGCTGGTAGACCCATATATGTAGCAGCCCTTCAGGCTAGTGCAGTTGTCCTGCACTGTGAGGTTTATCTTATACTGTGTTTACAGCCTATTGCATGGGTCTGTTGCTGGCTGCACCTGGAACATGTAAAGTGCTAAGAAGACTCAGGAAAAAGTAGATACAAATTTTTTGTTCTGCTCAGTCAAAATGGACAGCTATCATTTTAACTATACTCATTCTGTTCTTAAGCTGAGGTGGACGTCTTTATGTTGGCTCCACTTCAGCTTCCACAGAAACAGAACTTTTTCTGGCATCAGAAAAAGATGCAATTTTCATGCAGCAGGTGTTTCAATCAAATATGCTGGGATCAAACTAATGTTTATCAAGTACCCAAATCACAGCTTTATGTACTTGGAGGGCATTGCCCATAGGGATGTAATGCATCATCAGGTAGAGAAGCTTAAAACTCAGTGAAGGAGAATAACAAATCACAAATCAACAAACTCAATTGTATTAAACATGCTGCCCAGAGAGGCTTTCCTCTGGCAAGGAAATATTCAATGCAAATTTACTATTATGAATTTTTAAAATAAACCAACTGTAGATATATCATAGTTTTTTGGTAACATAGAAGCAGTTGGGATCCATAGTTGTTTGGTAACATAAAAGGAGCTCCTTTTCAGATACCTGCTTGTTATAACCTTGGTCCTGGAAGGAATAGTTATTGCTGTTTAATCAACCTGAATTTGGTATGACAGAATCTTACCAAATACTTGCTTCTGAGGGGGTTGTTCTTACTAAAATTTGAATAACATGCTATTAAGAATGATGGTGTTTTAAATCAGTAGGGATACTAAAAGAAGTAAAAATAGACAGGACATCATGAGATTTCCCAGCAGCTGACATGTTTGGCCTATTATTATACAGCTGAGTTGATCTGAAAAGATACATGAATTTCAAGGAGTCTTAAAAGCAGTGCCAAATAAATTAAATAGATGGGAAAGAGTTTTACAATGTGTTTTGGTTAGTCAAAATCAGAAAACTTTGAGATGTTCTCTTTTGAAATTATTAGTGTCCAGGAGGATGCTGGATTATGGATTCCCCGTAACTATATCTTTCATGTAGCCTTCTAATCCCTTGTAGTTTTGTGCTAGGATCAAGTTAAACACTGTCAATTAAAGACAAATTGATACAGGGGGGGATTGTTATTTTTGCTGCTTTATGAATGGGTAGGCAGTATCTAAATAAGGAATACTGCCTTAGTTATTGTTATAGCTAGAAGATCCACAGTAGTTGGGCAGGGAACTACTGCAGGAACTAAGATACCCTGCAGTCTGTGGGAACTTGGTAGTTCCCTCTTCTGGACCCTAAACACATGGGGCCTGGCATCTCAGCCTGGCAGCTCCTAGTTTCTGGCATGGGAAATAATGAATGAATGTATAAGCTCTGGTACCCATATCACGTAACATCAGAAGTTAGTAAAAGACGTGAAGACCACAGAGAAACCAACCTAATGTTTCTCATATAATAGTTCTGTGCAGTTTTCATATGTTTCATTTCTGGAAGAAAAGTAGTATGTTAGGGTCTCTTGGTGGCATTGCTCAGAAGGGATAGATTTGAGGTGGTTCAGAGATATAAGATATTGCCCATGTTTTGCCCATCTTATTTTGTAGTTTTCTGTTATCTTTAGTTTGTTTCTCTTATTTCAGAGGTTGAAGCACTGGGACATTCTCCCCTGGGAGGGTAGGAGTCACTGTTTATACTTTGCACCTCAATTAAATCTCTGCACCATGAATTAAAGTTAGTAATAAAACCGTTTGCCTCTGTTTTCTGGCTCTGCCACTCCCCACTTTTTCAGAAGGCCTTCTCTACCAGTGCAATACCATAATTTCTGTCAGTGACAGCTCATAACAAAGCTTGTGTCAGAATATGTCTTAATTGAGCATCGTTCAACTCTTTATTTTGTTTTTAGTTTCTCAGCTCCTTTAATGTTGTCTTAATAGTTTGTTGGTTTTTGTTTTTGTTTTCTCTCTGAAAACTTCCTTTCAGGGCTTCTTTTCAAATTAACCAGCATTGAAATGATCATAACATAGCTTCTCTTATCTTTTTTAATTTTTTTTTCTTTTTTTAAATGCACAAAATTATCTCCAGTGGCATTAAGTTCAGAGATTCACACAGTCTAATGTGCATTCATAAATCTGAGCTGACTTCACTGATGTATTTGAATTTACAGTCTCTTAACAGAGATCACAGGTTGACCTCAGATACCACAATATTCTCTTTATTGGGAAATTTAGAATTTTCTGGTGCACTGTGTTCAGTGACACATTGATAGGATTATCTGAGGATGGAAAGCAAAGGCTTGCATTCCCTTCTCCTTTCTATACATCTTCTCTGTTTGAATGGTAAATTACAGGGACTGAGATTCAAGGTGATCATGTTAATAACCAAGGTTGAATTCAGAACAGCACTTTTCCTGGGAGGATCTTTCTTTCATCTTTCATGTAAAAGTGTTGGCCATGGTTTGGATTTATTTTGGTCTTTGTTCTCTCAGTAGTAGACTTCCTAAGGGCTTGTCTGTGGCTGCAGCACTGCCGAGTGTTTTTTCTCTGTCACAGTCACTTCCCACAATGTCACCCCACTGACTACTTGGGAGCAGCACTAATCAAAAGTAAGGACCCAGGCCATTAATACGGACACACAGGGTGAGGGGTAGTGGTGTGTGAAGTCCTTTAACTTGTACAGAGGTACTCTGGATGGCAGTACTCATCTTGTGCTCAGCTTTTATCGTTAGGTTTTTGCTTTCACACTGCAATTTATTAACATGCAAATACTGTCTTTATGTGTCTTGGTCATGAAGGCTTCTAGGTGAGAGTGCTTT